TGTATGTTTTCAGGGTTGAATGTTTGGTGTTGAATAACTAACTGATTTTATGCTTTTTCCTGGAAAGAATTTTTTTCTCATACTCTCAGCTCTTATTAGTTCCTTGAAGTTTTTTGCATAGGATTAAAGACAACAGTTTCTTACTGGACCACTTCTGCATACCTATTGGCGTTTTCAATTTTTCACTTCATGTTTATACTGCTATATTGGTAAGCATTTTCTTTTCTTTTTTTATTAATATTGGTTCGTCTTATGGATGTAGCTTCTGGTATTATTAGGAGACACACTACCAGAACATACTCTGATCCTCTGCCTTATATAATTTTTCATCATCTGTTCTGCATGATCTCTGAGCCTTAGATCTGGGAATTGTTTTGTAGATTTATCAGGTGTGAGTGTTCTCCAGAATTCTGCCTTGTGATTGGTTGTGTTTTTCAGTCATGATTGCTATTGCAAAGAAAAGCTTCTTCTGACAGTTGTGAACTATACTTTTCTGTGCGAATTATTAAAAATATTTAGATTGTAACAGGTAACATATTCATGAATGGACTTACATGTATTATAGGGATTTTATGTAGATAATTCACAGTATGATTACTTAAAACCCTTTCACAAATATTTACTGTTATTTGTTCCACTTCCTTCTTTCATATTTATCCACCTTGATAATTAGGGGACCTTCCCCACATTATCCCAATCAGATCAATTGTACCTGCCATTTTATTGCTTGCCCACCATTTTTTCTTGCTTCTACAGTTATTCCATGGTGATACTCACATCTGAAACTTTGGATCTAGATGCCCCAGTGTAGAGAATGAGAGATATTTGACTTCTGGATATGGGTTACCTAAATTATAATTTTTCTACCTACAATTAATTATGTGTGTGATATTTATCATGTTAAACATGTTTATGATTTTCCATTTCCTGCCTATTGTGAACACAATAGCAATGAAGGTGACTGAGCAAGTATTTCTAGAGTGGGATGCTGAGTCATTTTTACGTATGTCTAGGAAAGGAGAGCAGGGCCAGGTAGTAGATTTATTTATTTTTTCCTTTTAGAAAATTCTCTACTCTGATTTTTGGAATGGCTCAACTGTTTAAAAGACCCTCTCCCTTTCCAGAGATCTATTTTCATGCCTGTTCTATAGAAGAATTTCAAATACGACCCAAAGCCCTGTTATACTCCCCAAAATAACAAATAAAACAAGTATTCAGTTCATGTACTGTTTACCTAAATTACTATCATGTAATTACATTTTGAATATGTATATTGTCCACAAATTAATAAGTAACATGAATAGCTTATTAAAATTGTTTCAGCCGCAGCTTCTATTCTGAAATAAGATGTCTGTGATTGTGAGACAAAGTGAGGAGCTCTTCTATTTGTTTA